TTTAGGGTATTTCTGGGGTTATTATGGGGGATTTTGGGGTGTTTTGGGCTATTTAGGGTTTTTTGGGGGGTATTTTCAGGGTGCTTTGGCGTATTTTGGGGTTTTGGGGCGGCACTTCTGGGTATTTTTTGGTGTTTAGGTGTTTTGTGGGGGCACTTTTGTATTTTGGGGTATTTTTGGGTTTTGGGGGGTGCTTTGGGGGATTTTTGGGTGTTTAGATGATTTTCTTTTGTTATTTCGAGGTTTGGGGGTATTTTTAGGTATTTGGGGGTATTTTTTGGGGTGTTTTGGGGGTATTTTGGAGTAATTTGGGGGTGTATTTTGGGGTAATTTGGGGTTTGGGAGAGTATTTTAGAGTTTGGGGGGGTTTGAGGGTAATTTTGGGCTATTTTTGGTTTTTTTAGGGTTTTGGGGTGGTATTTGGGGGTATTTTCGTGTTTCGGGGAGGGTATTTTGGGGTATTTTAGGTGTTTTGGGGATATGTTTTGGTATTTTGGGGTACTTTGGGGTTTGGGGGGTATTTTGGGCTGTGTTAGGGTTTTGGGGGGGTATTTTGGAGGTATTTTCGGGTTGGGGGTGTACTTCGGGGGTATTTCGGGGTTTTTTGGGTTTTGGGGTGGTATTTTGGGATATTTTGGGGTATTTTGGGGATATTTGGGGGTGTTTTGGGTGGTATTTTGGGGGTATTTTCAGGTTTGGGGGGGTATTTTGGGATATGTTGGGGATATTTTGGGGTATTTTGGGGTATTTTAGGTGTTTTGGAGGTATGCTTTGGTATTGGGGGGGTATTTTCAGGTTTGGGGTGGTATTTTTGGGATATTTGGGGTATTTTGGGGATATTTTGGGGTATTTTTGGGATATTTGGGGTATTTTGGGGATATTTTGGGGTATTTTTGGGATATTTGGGGTATTTTTGGGATATTTTGGGGTGTTTTTGGGGTATTTTTGGGGTGTTTGGGCCGTACCAGAGCCCCTGGCGCTGCAGCGAGCGCACGTGGGGCGGGAGCAGCACCAGGGAAATCTCAGCCTTGACCTTGGAGCCCTCCAGGAACACTGAAATCACCTGGGGGGACATCGGGGACACTCAGGGGACAACAGGGACACTGAGGGGACATTGGGGACACTGAAATCCCCTGGGGGGACATTGGGGACAATGAGGGGACAATGGGGACACTGAGGGGACACCGAGGGGACATTGAGTGACATTGGGGACACCGGGATGGGATCGACCAGCAGGAAATCACCTGGGGGGACACTGGGGACACTGAGGGGACAACGGGGACACTGAGAGACACAGGCAGGGGGTGGCAGGGCCAGGGTGACAGTGACACAGTGACAGGGTGACATTGGGGTGGCAGTGTCACCTCTCTTGATCCAGATGTGTCTCCGGAAGCGTGGTGGCAGTGACAGGGTGACAGTGACACAGTGACAATGACAGGGTGACACAGGGACACAGTGACAGTGACACAGTGACAGTGACACAGGGCAGTGACACAGAGCAGTGACACAGGGCAGTGACACAGGGACATTGGGGTGGCAGTGTCCGCGGGGGCAGTGACAGGGTGACAATGACACAGTGACAATGACACAGTGACAGTGACACAGTGACAGTGACACAGGGCAGTGACACAGGGCAGTGACACAGGGACATTGGGGTGGCAGTGTCACCTCTCTTGATCCAGATGTGTCTCCGGAAGCGCGGGGGCATGCTGGCCAGGAACCGCGTCCCCTCGGCCGTCTCCACCTCGTGCAGGTTGTTCCCCGGTGTCCCCAGCACCTGGGACAGGCCGGGTCACCGTCCCCCCCTGTCCCCCCAGAGCTGGGGACACCCCCAGGGCCTGTCCCCCTGTCCCCTTGTCACCCCTGTCCCCGTGTCCGGCCGTCCCTTGTGTCCCCCTGTGCACCTGGGACAGGCCGGGTCACCGTCCCCCCCCGTCCCCCCAGAGCTGGGGACACCCCCAGGGCCACCTGAGTGTCCCCTTGTCACCCCTGTCCCCGTGTCCGGCCGTCCCTTCCGTGTCCCCCTGTCCCACAGCTTTGTCCCCGTGTCCCCACAATGTCCCCAATGTCCCAATGTCCCAAATGTCCCCAACACCTCAATGTCCCCAGTGTCCCCCACATCCCCCTGATGTCCCCAATCCCCTCGCTGTCCCCAATG